GTTTCTCCATCCAGTCTGGGACTTCAACAGACCAGTTCCTCTGTCTTTACATTGGATAAACAATCACAGTTAGGCCTGTTTGTCAAAGGAAGTTTACTAGAGAACAGCCGAGAGTTGATTTGAATGAATTTATATTGATCCAGATTAATCAAGATTAATGATCTTAATTTCCAAGGCGATAATTTTCGATATTCCAATAGACCAAAATAAAATCTACACAAAACAAATCCATCCACTCAACAGGTCTGTTTGTTGGCCTTTGAGAGACTCTTTATATACTTTAGAGTGTTTGAATACAAAGTGGAGTAAAAGCTGATGGCCCCTTTCTATCACTATCAGCATGGCAGCTCTGGTGATCACAATGGGTTTCCTCCATTCAACTCTGTCGACTCCCTGCTGAGGACAGAGGAGATTACAGCCCAGACCACTGGTTGACTGTTTACTAGAACATGCCTTTGAATTTTCAATGGTCTTCTTGCTTTACGCGTCTGAACAAACACATCTCCACCCTACATCGGCCTGCATTGTCAGAGCAGCGGCTATTAGGAAAATGAGAAAAAGAGGATTTGGGTTTTAACCTCACCTCTCTCTCTCTCTCTCTCTCTCTCTCTCTCTCTCTCTCTCTCTCTCTGCATTAAGAAAATGGTAGACGTTGATGATTAAAAATCTTAAAATTTATACAAAGTAATAGAGAAACAAAGTAGTAAAATATTTGCTTAAGGTGATGAAGCAACACATTCTCATCCAGGTTCGGTGCACATTTACAATGGCTTAATCTTTTAAGATCACATCGCAATTGCACAAAGGATTGACTTATCTTTGATTAGCAAAGTTTTTCACAATTAAAATGTGATGAGTATGGGCTAAATTAATTTGCGTATGATACGTTTCAAACATAAAACCTCTTAATCGGAGGTTTACCACATTTACAGACTCAGTATAAAACTATTGCTTATCAGATAATTTGCTAGAAATATAATTTAATCATTTCTATATTTTATATAGCCTATGGTCTCTCCGGATCCCCTGGAGTACCTGCGGGTCCCTCTGAAAAATGAATATACCATAGCTTACATGTGGTAGGTCATCATAAAAACATCTTTGTAATTTATTTCCCTCTGAGTTCACAGTATAGAAATACTACCTTAGAGTGCTAATATGCAACATTTATGGTTAGATAGTTGTCTCTTTAAGGGTACTGCCACAGTGACAAGCTGTTGTAGCCTACCGCAAAGGTAAATAAATGTTTTCTGACAGTGCAGAGGATGGAAGTTACTGTACAAAACAACCATGCTGTAGATAAAAGTCAGTGGATTGAGAGGACTGAGCGAGAGAAAGATGCTGCCACTGCAGGCCTCCTGGAGCCCAGTGTTGAATTTGGTAATGGAATGTGAACTGCTCATCTGGATCTTTGCACATTCTGATTCTCCAAAGAGACGCGAGAACCAACAGAGGATGATGGGAGGAGGAGGAGGAGGGCACAGGCACAGCCTCTAATATCGAAACACCCGCACGAAAACGATGCATCCTCCTAGTAATTATGGTCATCCATAATCATCAAATTGAGATGGCTTAAATGATATCATCGTTATGACAGCTTAGTTTATAAATAAAATCCGACTTCTCTTGTAGTAACGTTTCGGCGTTCATCTCATGCTGTAAACCCAACCCAAAGATAGTCACGACGACATCGAACTTCCTCCTTTAAAACTTTTGACATTCCCAAGCGTTCAGTTTGCAAAGTGTGACAGACGAAACGATGAGTGTCTTGTGAACAACAATGACTCGTCGACGGTGAAAAAAAGTCGAAAGCGCAAATAAAACGCAAATACAACATGTCCCGACAAGGTCAATAAAAAGGGAAGCGTGTCCAACCCCCCCACGCGTTCGCCTCGTTCAAAGTTCTGATGTGGATGCTACGGTTCACTTTACTATAGTCACTTTTGGTGACAATATAGGTGCGAAACATTTTATCAAATGGGAGATAAAGGCATATTAACGACAGTGAGTTTAGTAAACTAAGGTATGCTGGTTGAATACATGTGCGCTGGTTAGACGCGAGTGAATTCCTGTAGTCAGGCGTTCAACCTTTGGATGCGAGAATGAAACGAGGAAGCACAAACCCTGTGCGAGGAAAAAAAAAAAAGTTCGGACATCATCTCAAATCAACATCTTCGGCCTTCCAAGTTTAAAAACTTCCGACAAAGTCTCCATCCACCAAAGTTTCAAATCGGCAGGATGGAGAACGTAAACAACAACAACAACATGTAGAAAAGTGCTCGATACTTACGCGTGACTTTGTCGGGGTTGGGCTGATTGCGCTGAGACATGGTGATGGTGAAAAGAGATGATGGACTTCGAAAAAAAAACTGCAAACTTGTTCCGGAGAGCGATCAAAATGGCGTATTTGAGGATGTGCAAAGTTCGCCAACTGGATACTTCTCTTCGCCCACTCTGTTAGCTCCCTAAAGGAATGATGGCCATCGAAACTGCCGACGAGTGAGGGTCAGAAAAGTCACTTTTTCCTCAAAGTGTGTTCCTGAGCGCTGCTCAGTGAACGTGATAAGTAGACGCATCACGTGTTGCTCTAGTCTCCAAGGGGACGTGTGTTACTGAGGCTGCCACTGGAGTTCAGCTGTGAGCATCTCTACGGGAGGGGTGGAAAACTTTACCCCTTCAGCCTCATCCAACTGATTATATTAGATAGATAGATAGATAGATAGATAGATAGATAGATAGATAGATAGATAGATAGATAGATAGATAGATAGATAGATAGATAGATAGATAGATAGAGATAGATAGATAGATAGATAGATAGATAGATAGATAGATAGATAGATAGATAGATAGATAGATAGATAGATAGATAGATAGATAGATAGATAGATAGATAGATAGATAGAGTGTGTAACAACGGCTTTTAAAGTAGTATACAAACATTTTGTGACAGCATACATAAAATGTACTATTTGTTGCCTAATAACGCATATTATATCGTGTAAATAATATAATCTAATAATTACTATTTTCTGTTGTGTAAACGATATAAAATTACCGAAAATGTAAACGTGATAGCGACGGGACCCCAGTATCACTATGTGAAGGCAGTTGATGATGCAACACACCTCGCGCTTTGGCGCCTTCTTTCTGTCACAAGACAAACACCTGTTGGTCGTCATATACTGTGATGGAGCATCCGTCATCTAATAAATCTTGTGGAAGGGCATTTAATTGTTTCAGAGACAAATGATGACATAAATGTTAAAGAAAGACGAAATAATTTGAGGCAACACCCCATTTTAACCCTCACTTCTGTGAAAATCGACTACAGTACATCCTGCTTCTGAATATAACCAAAAAGTCTCTGATATAACTCAGTATGCAAATATATATAAAAATAAAGTCCTTTTAAAGTTTTGTCTAAGATACAGTATGTATGTATATATATATATATATATATATATATATATATATATATATATATATAGTATATATATAGTATATATATAGTTATATAGTTTTTGGCATAAACTAATTAAATCGTAAGAGTTGAGATTAGGCTGGTTATTATTATTATTCCCACCACCATGCAGCATATTTTGCTCAATTTTGGTGAAAATTCTAATTTAAAATGGAGCAAAGAAAAAATAAATATAAAAACAAATAAATAATGTATGACAGATGATGCTTCCATTTCATGTAATGGTGAAGACTTTACTAACTTTTTAACACATTTTTCTTCAATCATCATTATCATTTCTTGAAATTTGCGTAAAGGGATAGTTAACCCAAAATAGGCTACTCACCTTCATGTTGTTCCAATGGACCAAACCTGTATTGGTTTACTTAAACTATGGAAGTCAATGGCTACCGTCAACTGTCTGGTTACTAACGTTCTTTAAAATATCTTCTAACAGAAGAAAGAAACTCATACAGTTTTGGAACAACCTGAGGGTGCAAATATTGACCACATTTTCAATTTTAAGTGAGCTATCCCTATAACTCATTCAAGCTGCATTTGACTGCATATGTGTCTCAAAAGCAGTCAATATGCATCTTCTTTAGTGCTTGAAATAACTCTTACAGAGATAACTTTTAGGCTACCTGAGAGGTGTCACTCACAGAAGCAGCATTGGCTCTGTGAGTGTGTGTTTGTGCTGCCACTAGAGAGCAGTCTCTGCTTCACCTTATGTAATCACATGAGAGTGACCTTGTGTTGGTAACCAGCAAAGTCTCTGACCCACGGTGACCTGGATAATTGCCTCTGGTCTACATAGTGTTCTCCATCCTGCAGAAAACTCCAACTTCCTTTGTATTAACATGATTACCCCCCCCCCCCCCTTTTTTAGCTTTATTTAAGTTCCTTTGTATCAACATGATAACAGTCCCCCTGTAGTAGCTTTATTTACTTTATTGTTTCATTTAGACATATATTTATTAGCTAATATTCATACAATTTGAAAAAGCTGAAAAAGTGTCGAGGTTGAACAATGTGGCATTCAAAATAACGCTGACAGTTCAAGGTAATACAGCTATCCGGTAGGCTACGACTCATATCTTTGTTGTAATGAGAGTGAGAGCGTGTGCTGATGCACGTATTTATGATCTAATATTTGAAATACCTGTGTATGGGCATGTGTTGTGTGTCCAGTAACATTACACACAATAAGGCTAAGCCATAGCCTACTTTTTGACAACAGTGCCATCTGATGGCAAAGGATATATGTGCTGCTTAGAAAAGGCTAGCCTACTATTTTATTCAGACAGTTTATTGTAGGCTATATAAGGGTGGATTTTGCTTGTATGTTATTCTATAGTGGTAGTTTTTGGAAATGTACTATGATTTGTTGTAGCGTATATTATGGACTGGAGGCAGGACAGTAAGCGTGAGAGAAGGAGAAGGATATGGGATCAGGATTTGAACCGGTCAGACTCGAACCGGATTCCCTTGAGCCTCATACTATGTCATCATGGGTAGGTTACTTTTGAAATATTTGTGTCAGAAAGAAAAAACTTTAAAAAACATCTTTATAAAAGGCTGAATTTTGTTGTAAAAAACACTATAGGACAATATATGATATGATCATATATCATTATATGGTCTTTACAGATCATATCTCATCATACGAGATATGATCAACATATAGGCCTAGGCCAATATGATTAACATAAAATGATCACAGATTTGCATTAATCTACAAGATTTTTGCTAATGGAATGTAAATGCACTTAGAATAATCTGTAGTAAATTCCTGATGGCTAAATGTTGATAAATAAATGTTGATCTTGATGTTTCAATGTGCCTATTGATCCATAATAAATAAAAAGAGCACTGAAAAATAAAAAATAAAAGAGCACTGAATAAAACATGGGTATTGAACATTAATGCGCATGATTCGTCGCGTAAGTTCCTCTTAGAAATTAAAAATTTACTTTATTTGGGTGAAAGGATTACTGAAGAACTTGTACTATTTTACAGTGATTTTACAGTGATTCAAATAAATATGCTGTTTGAAATTAAATCATTTGATATTTAACGTGAGGTTTTGACTGCAGGTGCACGCTTACGTCATCATAGCGCAATAAAGTAAAAGGGGAGTGCAAGAGTGGTCACTATTTCTCTAACGTTAGTCCACTTTATCTCTATCAATCGGTTTGGAGTTCGAGACAGAAGTATTTAATTCGCCTTGAGATGCAGCAGTTTCCTGATGCGGTTTCAGACCTCCTCCACTTTTAGGCTAATCTTGTTAATCGTAGGATGGGAGTGACTTCGACGGATAAATACAACTTGGTACTTTTCACACTGGAATTAGGTGAGTCAATTAGTAATTTTTTCTTCAATTTTAACTTATTGAAAAAGGTTAAATTCAATTTCCTAACTTTGCATACCCTTCAGGTCGGTATATATATATATATATATATATATATATATATATATATATATATATATATATATATATATATATATATTTATATATTTTTTTCGTTTAATAGGCTAATTTTACTGTTCTGTGATGATCCGAGTCTAGTTCATTTTGGGTGTTTAAATTGACAATTAAATAAATTCCATTTAAATGAAAACAAGTTGTGTTATTCCGTCTGATTCTGTTGTATTTCAGTTTCATTGGTGCAGGGAACATGTGCAACATGTGAAAACATATTTAAAGGTTTCTCAGACTGTCTGCTCAGTCTTGGTGAAAACATGGTGAACTATCCCCAAGAGCTGGATGATAGCGAAAACCTACAGACCATCTGCTCGTAAGTAGGCTACACACTGTCAGCAATCATTTCTGGAAAAAGCTAAAGCATTTCATATCTGGTGGTCCTTCTCATCATGTTTTAGATTTGACATATCTATGAGCTGAACTCATGCCATCCATGACTCAGACTGACAATACTGAAATATATTTCATTTGCAGGGAATAAAACAGATTGTGCACCTTGTGTTTATCCTCATGCAGATATTGGAATGACTTCCACTCGTGTGCCTCCACCGCAATTGCAGATTGTCAAGAAGGAGCAGGACTTTGGGAAAAACTGAAACTGCAGTCCCGGAGCTTGAACTATCAGGGAAGCTTGTTTGAATTATGCTCCAGGGATAATGGAGTATCCAGAGTTTTATTACCAATGGAACTGAAGATACTGCTGATGTGTTTCACCACTTTAGTGGCTTGGCTTGTTTTTGAGTTAGAAACCTGAAGACCTGACCTCAAACAAGTTCCTAAATGGATTATATGCACCCTTTTTTCTCTTCAGCTGAATCAATTCATGTTTTGATGCACATAGACTTCTTGGCAAAAAAAAAAAAAAGAAGAAGAAGGAAGAATTCAGAAATTACTTTCTTAAATGGCCTCTTTTTTCCCCCCCAAAAAATTGAAGACGATTTACAGTATAAATCTTATGAAAATATATATATTTTAAAATACAGTTGTTTTGACCATTGGTGTGTAAAAACAGCAAACATTCTGGACCAATAATAGAATTTAGTTTTATTATTTAAAGCACGTCTTAATGATCTGATTAGCACATATTTTCCAACACATAATAATAAATAGATTATTTTGAAAGTTTCAATAGGTTCAATCTCATTAGAAAGATCCTGAGATTACAGTCCTGCTCTTTCACCCCCTCCCAGTACATCAAGTTGAAATGCAAACAATTCCACAGCACTGTATATTTTTCTATGAGGAGTTGCATTTGCTCATTTAAAGGTACAGAGCCTCTAGCATTTTTCCCTCTTTAATGACAGCAGAAAACCTGAACATCTGTCTAAAGCAAGACACACACACACTACATATTAAAATGGAGGGAACATGTTAGTTGGAATGGCAGGAGAAGTGCAGATGCTCTCTTTTCTGTAATTCCCAGCCCTTGAAGACCACAGCCTGGTTATTAACACGTCACGTGCTGCTATGATGGTCCTAATCGTTCCCTGCAGGGAATGTGTGTCTATTGTGTGCACATCTGTCTTTTTGTTTGCTACATATGACATGAACAAAATAAAAGCAGATCTGATCCAGTCATATTGAGAGTATATTCTGTAAGTGGGATAAGATGTCTGTGAGTGGAAAATGAAAAAAAAAAAAAAAAAGAGTTGCTTCAATTGTTAAATCAATATCGTTTGAGTCTCATACAAACGACTTGTCTCTGCAATGCATGATCCAGAGCAAAACATATAAGTAACTCATAAGTGTTTAATAATTTAAGGGACTCTTCCAGACTCAGGATAATAGCATTATAAGCTTGTCCCCTCTTTGAAAACATTAGATAAGACCATGGTGGTTAATTGTACATGTCATAAAAAAGTTTAGTAAGTGAACGCCTCTGATGATAATCATTGTATGAAATATTTAAGGCGTTGTCAGAGCAGATGATAGCGGGTGATATCTGAGGAGTCAGAATGTGCTCTTTACAAACACTTGCTATCTGGACATTAATGCTCAAATGTATTTTAAAACTGTCAAACAAGTCTGCATCTGTATTATTGAGCAATTATTCTTCTGTGCATCAAAAATTGTCTTTATATGCAAAATTTTGGACTACCGCTAATCACTACAAGGCTATTGTTCTGTCCTGTCTGAATCTCTCTCCTCTTCAGTTGTATGGCTACGAAAGCAATGAGTCCAGGCTCTTTGTGGTTGTTAATAATGCAGGAGGTTGTGTGAGTAAATGGGGCAGGCGGTAGATCCTATGTGGACCCTGTGGAAATGGAAGCAGAGCAGAGGATAAATAATACACACAAGTGACATGTTTGAATGCAGAAAGTCAAATAGAGACACTGAGGCTTTGAAAGTTCCTGCTCAATGCTTTGAAAGCCATTAAGACATTTGAAATGTATTACTTTATTCTTTGTGGATGTGCTTTAATAAACAGAGGTTAGTCTGTTTCTGTAATCTGGCTTTTCATCTAAATGATAGAGCATAAATGTGCAACAGTAATTTCATTTTTTTTTCTGCTAAATATACATATCGCGATTAATCGCATCCAAAATAAAAGTTTGTGTGTACATAATATATGTGTGTGTAGTGTGTTTAATTATTTTGTATATATAAATGCACCCACATGTATATATTTAAGAAATATTTGCATATACATATATATATATATATATATATATATATATATATATATATATATATATATATTATATATTTATACAAAATTAACATAATACATAAATATAAATATTTCTAACACATTTTTCTTAAATATAGACATGCATATGTGTGTATTTATATATACAAAATAATTATACACCCTACACATACTTATATTATGTAAACACAAACTTTTATTTTGGATGTGATTAATCGCAATTAATCGTTTCACAGCCCTAATATATATATATATATATATATATATATATATATATATAAACATAGACGATATATATATATACATATATATACTGTATATTAGGGTTGTCAAACGATTAATCGTGATCAAAATAAAAGTTTGTGTTTACATAATATATGTGGATGTACTGTGTATAATTATTTTGTATATACATAAATACACACACATGCATGTATTTTTAAGAAAAAAAAAATATTTACATATAAAATATTTAAATATAATATAAATTATATATAAATCTGTACACAGTATATACATGAAAATATTTCTTAAATATATACAAGTGTTTGTATTTATATACAAACTTTTTAAACACAAACTTTTATTTTTGATGCGATTAATCGTTTGACAGTAACGTGAGTTTGTGAGTAGCACAGTGGTATCATATTATGTTTACTATAGTTAAATATCAGTAAAAGATACATACTTTAGATCTGATTGGTTCCAATTTGAGTCTATGTTTTTTCATATAGTCGTGATAGTGTGATGCTTACAGTCATTGAAAAAGTCCCCATATGCCACAGTCAGCCATGATGCGGCCCTGGGGATCTTCTGTGCTCTCCCCAGGCACAAACAATGTCGTGGACATGAATTTCTCTCAATAATGTTGTGTTAGCTGCCCTATTTAACGTTCATAAATGGCAGCACTTGAAGTGCACCTTGAGTAAATTGTATTTCCATATAATATATGCCTTATTGAAAGTTATTTTGCTACTGCTGCTGCAAGTGAAAACTGAAAATAGCTTGTTTAGCTGCTAGAGATCGTTCATTTTTATAGTGGTGCCATTATACAATATCTTTGGGTTGCTTGCTTACAGGCACTTGGCACAAAGTAAGGAGTTTTTTTTTTTCCTTTTTAATCACATGGTCAGTGAAATTACATGCTTAACCTTCAGAAAATGTTGACAAAATTATAACTGGTTAACAGTTGCATACAGTTGAGAAAATCAAGACCTGTGGTGGGACAGATCAAAATGTAATGCCTTTGAAACTAGGTAGCTACTTTTTGTGGTAGGTTAATTATGTGTTATATAATAGGCTAATTTCACACAACATAGCTGACACAACAAAATATAAGTATGGAAGGCAACAATTATATTTGTGTCTCTAATGGTTTAAATAAATGTAATGTTACACCAATGTATTGCGCCTATAGTGTGCCAAATTGCATCATGCAGGTAACTAAAATGCCATAACTCTATATTGTAGGAATGCACGTTGTGTAGTAGGTTGTGTAGCCACTGTCCGGCGGATACTGACACTAGATGGCGATGTATCAAGTGTAGAAACACACGAGAAGAAGAACGAAGACACTAAAATCAACATGGCGTCGTGCAGTCGGACTCAAGTTATCTCACTCTACAGGATGCTTATGAAAGAGAGCCAAAAATTCCCCTCATATAATTACAGGTACGCCGGTACTCTTCGTGTGAAATAGTCTATATGCTATAACGCTAAATGTATGTTCTCGCATTTTATGTTTCGTTTTGTTTATTTTTGCGTATAGACTCAGACTGTGAACACGTTTGGTCATTTGAATTATAAGCGTTTCTGTATGTAACGTAAATAGCGCATTTAAATTAGTTTTAAAATCAAACGATTGCTTATCTACTGTTTCATAACTAAAATACTGTTTGTTTACAGAACATACGCACTTCGCAGAGTGAAAGATGGCTTCAGGGAGAACCTTCATGTTGAAAACCCCAAAACACTGGATATGCTCATAAATCAAGCTAGAGAGAATCTGGCGGTTATCAAGAGACAGGCAAGCAATGCCAGCTTTGTTTGATATTCCATTATTGTTGTTTATGGCCAAATAACAGTTAAACTTGAATGATCTGATTCAAATAACAGAATTCATTTGAGAGTATTTAGTTACTAATAATTAATACATTTTTATTTTCTACATCTAAGACGGTATCACTTATCTTTTTTTTTTTTTTCACAGGTTTCCATTGGCCATCTGTATTCTGTTCAAAGGACTGTTGTTGAGAGCGAGCCTCATTTGTAAACATCTTCAGCACCAAGAGTGTTCATATAGTATGGTTGTGAATGACAAATCTGTAAGCTACACTAGTTGACTGTCTGTGTAATTGTAATGTAGTAGAGTATACTGTAAATGTATGTTGATGTAATTTGTTACCAGCAAATAAATAAGATGTATAAATAAATAAGCATGGCGAATACAACATTTGAAAAAACTATTTAGCTTTGCAGGTCAATAAGGCATATTACAATACTGAACATATGGGGGAAGATCACACTTTTAAATGGTCATATTGTCTAAATCGTTTTCATGTGCAAAATGACGATGCATCAGACAATGTGTTATTATGGGGAAAAGCCTAAATAAAAACATTTGCTAATTTATTTGTCATAGTACAACATGTAAAATCGCTGGAGATGCTGAAATCATAGTACAGCAGATTTTTCTGTAAAGGAAATGTATTTAAGGCATATGAATATGTACATATTTAATTGCCCATAATTTTATTGAAGATGACTTACATTCAGAAGGATTGTTCTATACATTTGAATGAATAGCAAAGATGTCACTCTGAAATGTATATGTAGCTCATTGAATAAAACATTTAAAAATAATAACAACATGAGGCCTTGTGTGTCAGCAAAACCAGTATTTTTTTACTCCATAAACCTTAAAATATTATTTTGTCCACAAATCCCTAAAACTATGTGTTTTTCAAATTATGTCACAGATCACTATTTTCCAGAAAGACAATTAGATTAATTAACCTCAAAACTCCTTTAAATGAATACAAATGCTAATGTTAAGATGTATTGACAAAAAAGGATAGAACATATCCATTCATTAAATGTGTTGACTTTGTGCCAATTTTTGCCAAAGTGAAAAAAAAAAAAAAAAAGGTTAGGGAGTCACCCTATCCACCATTTTCTTTTGCAATTTGGAAGTAAGCTGTTTTCTGTGAATGTGTGAGAAATAACGGGAAGAATAACAAAGTTCAGTAAATGGTCAAATTATTTGTGCTGCAAAAACCAATGTGTTTATAATTGACAATACATTCAAATAATATGGTAAGAATTGCCAGCTGTTTTTGTACAGCTAAAAATAACCAAGTGAATGACATTGGAACTGAATGCCAGACACATTCAGTTTACAAATGGTTACACCCACTCTTAGATCAAACATAAGGTTAGCGCGACTTAAATGGTTAGTTCCCTCAAAAATTATGTCATTAATGACTCACCCTCATGTCGTTCCAAGCCCGTAAGACCTTCGTTCATCTTCAGAACACAAGATATTTTAGATATAGTCCGAGAACTTTCTGTGTGATATCTTTATTTCCTTTCTGGACAAGGACAGTAAACCGTATACAGTTTGCAATGAATGAAGGGACAGAAAACTCTCGGACTAAATCTAAAATATCTAAATATCCGAAGATGAACGGACATCTTATGTGCTTGGGACGAAATGACATAATTTTCATTTTTGGGTCAACTAATCCTTTAAGCCTATTTATACAGATTAATGGAAATTAAAAGTAAAGTTCAATTCAGGCAGACTGATTCCCTTAAATCACCATGAAATTCAAATTAGCAATTCTTGTTTTTTTTTATGGAATAATCCTAATCTGTGATCAAAGTAAACTTGTTGCAACCACATCTCTTCTCTCATGACATGTTTACTGGGTGAGGGCGGGACAACCTGTCACTCACATGACATCACAGCAACAGCAAACTACAACCATACAATGATCCAATCAATTCCCAATAGACAAAGTCAAGATCCACCCTACGTTTTTCTTGTTCGAAAGGCCGTTTCATTTGGATATTGGCCACAGAGAAGAAAGTACAATCGTGATTTCAGTTTCATGCTGACTTTAAAGTGTAGTTCTCTCCATCATTGTTGTCCCAGAATTCCCCAAGATCAGTCTGACAATACACTGAGAAATGCACAGGTGATTTTTTGTTCAAAAAGTGCGGCGGCACGTGCAAAATAAAGTCGAACATTTCCCACGGTAGCAGTTTTTCTTCATTCAGTCTTAATACAGCTTTAATATCTGAAAATGTCAGCCAGTTGTTTACAGTGTACCTGACCCCAACTTCTCTTGCGTTGCTCTGTATCACTCTGATCACGCCCTTCACTTCAGAGGCAGTTATTGTGACACTTTCCAATGCGACTCCCAGGCGGCTTGACTTCATATCAAACTCCAGCAAACTAATAGGCATGTCAAATGCTGGCACTAAACGTGCTGGAATCAGATCACTGCCATGTTGAAGCTCTTGGTTTGGAGGATGATGCCGGAGTCCAGATGACACATTGCACGTTTCATTTGCATCATCAGAGATGTCAAAGTGTCTGATGTTTGCGAGGTTCAGCCCCATCATGTCTGCAAACTGAACTCTCTTTCCATGAACTAGATTCTTGTGTGAGAAAGATTCATCCTGATATAGATCTACAGGCAGAGATTTGGCTCTTTCCCTGTCTGTTTGAGTAGCCTTTGGTGAAAAAGATGGTAATTTGTCATATTTTGATGTGTGCTCTGGTTCAGACAGACCCTCGGTCCCGGCTGTATCCTCTGACTGCTCAGTGTCCATCAGCATTCATCACATTGACCGGTGCAGTAAGGAAGCAGCAGGAGCAGAAAGTCTTTTAAATATGAAAAAGGGACCTGTAGTCTTTGCGTAAGAATGATGCTTGACAAATACAACATGCACACGAGTTGCGTCACAGCAACGTCACCCATGTTTGCAAACAAATTTATTATATAAAAAAAAATGACTTTTAGCCATTAACCAGCCAAGGGGCTTTATTTGAGGTCTTAGCAAGTGTGTTATATAAAAAACTGCATCCAAGAGCATTTTTAAATGCCCCCCCCCCCCCACACACACACACACATTATTTAGTTCATGTAATAATTCATATCAATCTCAGCTATAGCCCAAAAGCTGATGGATATTTTGTTCCCTATAGTTAATGAACTATAGTTCATAATGATAACATCCAATCTTTAAAGTCTTGTTAAGTTTTCCACTGTCTGTTAGGCTATTCCAGAATAGGCTCTTTCAATCATTGTCTAGTGCAGAAACACGATGACGAACAGCAGAGGGTTTACAGAGTAAACAGATCCATGTGCTCGTTCGCTTCTGTTTACTCTATTCATGACGCAAGAGACTGCAGTAGGTTTTTATATGTAAGCTAAAATGATATTCCTGGAGAAACCAGTCGAAATGCGTAGGGGAAAGTTCAAGTTTTTTTTGCATTTCATAGGCCTAGCTGTCACCAAAATGTACAGTGTACTTTACACTTTGTAAATAAAAGATGTATTTGTATAAAAAGATGTATAAAGATCTGTATATGTATTTTATTTATTTAAAGACCAATAATATATTACATTAAGTTATTATTCAGTTGGTTTTCTCCAGAATTTCAGTAAATCCAGTAGAATCTCATTTTAATTGAGACTATTATTGGTTATGTCTTATCTACTTAGAGATAAGAAAAAAGAAAAAATAGATTTTGAGTTATAAAGCAACATTAACAGATTTTTTTTTTAAACTAACCCTAACTACAGATTTCTTTGTCTAAATAAATAGCACAAGCTTGTATAGTGTATATATATCTAAATTCTTGTTCCAATTCATAGGTGCCACCTACAAATTAGAGTAGGCGAATGAATAGACCCATCTTTTCCTTTGATATAATTTCCTTTCTTTCTTTTTTCTTCTTAATTTATCTTCATGGAATGTACATTTATAATAACTCAAAATAATTGTTATAAGCGAATAAACTGTTTTATTTTTCTTATTAAGAAAACCAAAAGTAGACATCCGAGGTGGGATCCAAATCGATAGGCCTAAAATAAACAACTTTCTTAACATTGAAAAGAGGGCTTAAATAAATATCCTAATTCTAAACACAATAACAGCCATTTAAATGAGTACAAAATAACTGCAGAGTTATTAACAAAATATTTAGCTTATCAGATACATTTAGCCAATCAATTAAATGTAAATTTGTCTTAATTTTGACAAGAATTTTAGATTTTATCAGACGTATCACCACAAAAGGGGAGATCTAAAAATATTTCATAAAACTGTAAGTTATTTACCCATATTTATTATAAACAAAAGCCAAGGTCAAACTCAAAACATCACCTTTTTTTCTCAGTAAACCAACTCTGCACCCACGAACTGTTTTATAATCTAATACACACTATGCTCTGCAGCTGTGCTGTAAGCAGGAACTGACGTCAAATGTTTGCGACAAGTGAAGGTGCCACTATTTTGAAACCTTATGCGAAGTTCTTTACTTTAATCAGATCGTTTATCTTTTTTTTCCTGCTTTATCTCATAAAAAATGTAGATATTGCACGTAGTTGTTAAAATGTCGCCAGAGCTGGAAAAGTTACAGAGAAGCCTGTTGGTGTGCGAGAAATCAAACTTTCTGAATGAAAAGTCTCGGCATGACATCCACGTGTCGAAGCACAGCTTTAATTACAAGGTGAATTTAATCATTAACGTTATTCATCTGCTCAATATATTCATTTTACAGCTCATATTGTTTTTGGGTCGCGATAGTTTCAGACGGAAATGTGTCTCTTTTCAGATCTCAGTGCTGATCCCTGAATGTGGGATCCTCCCTGCAAACATTAGCAATGTGATCAACAGCTTCAGCCCTTATTATCTAGTGCGGAATCTGCCTGTTTATGAACTAGTAGAAGAAACATTCCTTGAGACACTTGTAAAGAAAGGTAGGGAGTGAAAATGTGCGAATTTCCTTTGCTATTTTTTGGTATTGAAATATATTCAAATATATATTTAATTTACAGGAAACTTCTATGCGCTCTCTTACAACACCAAAATTGATGAAGATAATTCCATTGCACTTCTTTCCAGTGGTAAGCAAGATAACTACACAGATTAACATCTCTATGAATCTTAGTGGATGTAAAGATCCCATGAAATCAGTGTTTCTCGACCTTCTTGACTTTTTGATTTCTGCTATAGTTGTGATGACAAAGCTTAATTTACATACTTATACATATTCATTTCATATTGTTTTTTTTTCCAGGTCAGTTAATTTTGTCTCTAGATAAAGACACATATGAACAGCTTGGCTTGGAGGGACAACCATCTCAGTACAATCACAAAAAGGCCATGAGATTTGGTAAATGCCTTTATTCTTTCTGAGTAGCATGAAACTAAGGTGTTTTAATCTTTGAACAACAAAAAAAAGTAGTCAATAAATATTACAATTATAAAATGTCTTTGTTTTGCAGTCGTGAAGCTGGACCTTACAGACAAAAGCTTGACTCCAGGCACCAAACGATACCAGCGGGTTCTGTCAAGTATAAAACACCGACTACCACTCAGATATGACTTTCTGTTTACTAAATACAACACAGGTTTGTAGCAAGTAATCCATCATTGCCGTCACTGACCTTTAACATATTTCTCAATTGCCTTAGCCTTTTGCATTCATGACTCTTTCAGGTGCAGATGAAGATAAGATTCTTTCCAAGCTGTTGTCCCAGTACACATACGAGGAGCACAAGCCTGCTTTTAGCCATCACACCCTGAAAAATATACCATGTCCCACTCTTAACCCATCAGATATACAGGGAAAAACACTGTCATGTGACCCACATCACTTCTTGGAGTGGCTTGGAGCTGTTAACTTGGACATCAGTTGGTGAGCAAAGTCTAGTCACTATATCATGCCGTGCTCTTGTATGTTTGTGATTTGTTAAATCTGTAAATTGACTCCATATATTGTACAATGACTACTTAAAGACTATGGACCAAATTGACAATAATGAAATTACTATGCCAATTTGCTTCACAAAATGGAAAGGAGTTCCTTGTGTTTTCAACTATATTTCTAAATGTGTGTATTTTTTTCAGTGAAAATGCTGCCGACAGTTTTCTATCAACATATGTGTGTCCAGAGCCCAAGAGTTCTGTCAATCAAGCCTTGCTGTGCACCGTTACTGGCTTTATCCCACCTGAGAATGTGTTTTTGCTGCTGCAAGAGCTAAGGTGAGACCCTACATTACCATCACGAACTATACTCCAACTTAATATGCAGACAACTACAAGCAAGCCATTAGTAAGATAATTCACAAGTAAACTCTTTCGTATGACTTGCATACCAAAGCATATGTAAAGTACTGGATAATAATTTTAACAATCGTGTTATTCGACAGTACATCTGAAGTTATACTTTAAATGTATTAAATGGCACAAAAAGTATTCTCGTCGCTTGATAAACTTAAGATTGAGCCACTGTAGTCACTCGGACTATTTTAACGATTCAACAAAATTTTGGGCCAGCCAGTTTCAATCCCTTAAGAAGCCTATGGAGGAGTGATCCAGCTCTCAGATTTAATCAAAAACATCTTAATTTGTTCCGAAGGTGAACGAAAGTCTTACGGGCTTGGAACAACATGAGGGCGAGTAAATACTATAAATACCGAATTTTCATTTTGGGGTGAATTAACCCTTTAATACATTTTACAATTAGGTGTCTGAAAACTTAACGTTCAGTTTGCACTTGAGTATAAAATTTTCACAAGTGTTTAAGGAGATACTTGCTTTATAAAAGTGAGCATATTTGTAACTTACTGCTGTTTATTTACTAAAAAGCTGTTTATTTCTCTACTTTGTATCATCCAGGCAGTATTTCAATGAACCGAAGGTTACACCATGGGTTTCCCTCACTGTGCATGGATTTATGGATAGTCCTGTGTCATGGGGAGCCACAGAACATGGGTTCCTCAAAGGTGGTGAAAACTTCTACAATTTTGTTTTCTTCAAAAATCAGGACTACTGGTTACACATGGCTGTCGGTGCTCAAGATGGCTGCCCACCATGAAGCAATGGACATTTGACATTGAGGAAATTAGACATGTGTTGAAATGTAAAATACAAACATAAATGTATGATGTTGGTTTTTATTCAAATTAAATTATAAAAGCACTATAGTGGGTAAAAAAAACCCCTTATACTATATCAATTTATTTGGACCAGGCATTTCACAGCTGTTACATGTTCTGAAAAAAAAAAAAAAAAAAAAAAAAAAATCTTTACAGATTGTACAATTTATAGCATATCAACTATAAGAAATATGCCTTGCTATTATATATATATATATATATATATATATATATAAAATCTAATTTGGACCAGCATTTGAAACTAAAGGCAGATTACATATGTACAGCTATGCTAAAATTCAGAAAATGAGGATAATATATATAATTTTGTCAGTGAAGTGACTGGAACAAAGCAATTTTTCCCCTCAGGTATAGTCCGCAATGTTTTACATCAAACTGCGACACCCTGGGTACAGAATTCAAAATGTAAATGAGTTCCTGGTGTTTGACTATTTCTAAATTTAATTGTGTATTTTTTCAGGTTATTAACAGATACTGAATTATCACAGATCAAACTAATATTTCACCAGAGTTTACATAACATCACATACAAGTTAAAATGTAGAAGACATAATTAATGTCACACTGCACTTCATAATAAAATATAACCTGCCACATTGTTTTAAAAAAGTAACTCAAATAACTGAACAAAAGCATTCAATAAGTATAAGAGTAAGAATGAAAACAATTCTATTTTCACAATCATAAATATAATTCCATAAACATGAATCAATTTTACAAAATAATTTGGAAAGGGTAAAACGTACACAACCATCTGTTATTCCAAGTTATGGAACCACTGCAGCAAAGTCTATCTATGGTCAATAAATACTGAATAGAATTAACAACATATATAATTTACACATTTTATTGCTGGGGCTGAGCTGATTAATTACTGAATTGAATTTTGCTTACCTGTAAAGTATCGAGTCAGACCAATTTAAAGCAAAAACTTTGGAGCAGAACATGAAATAGTGCATAGATAACTGTACCAGAAACATGATGTAAAACGAGTAAGATTTAAACCAGACGCTTCATTGCTAAAAATCATATTATGGGTTTTGAGAGGTAGAACTTTAGAACTGGGGAATAAAATATTTCTACAAAGTCATATTAAGCAATTTACGTGGACCTTTTCACAACCCATTTTCCTAAACCTACCCCATTCCCACCCACAAAAACAAAACAAAACTGAAAGATAGCCATTCCATTTAATAATAGTGCATACTAGCTAGTGACTACATATGTTTGTGATGGATTTCAGTAGGATCTTCCCTTAGAGACGGTTGTTTAATCTCCAGGGCTCGTCTGATGATACAGCAGTCCAGTCTGTTTGAACCAGCAGAAAAAAAGGATGCAGATTTAAATCGCCAGCACCCTTTATTGACTCATGAGGAACATCCCCCATTCATTTTCATAATGTCATAAGTTATTAAATTAGAAATATTGTCAACATTTACATCAAAATTATTTGGTGGTATAATGTTACTCCAAAGCAAACAGTTTGTATGCCCGAGAACATACAAACAAAACTATAGTTAAGCTGAATACTTTTAAAATGAAGCCAGCAAAACATACAACTGTTAACTTTGATACAAATAAATGTTAATTCCTACTAAGCCAGCGCCTTAAGTATTCATTTTGTTCACTTTAATGCATTAGTAGCTTTCAAGTCAAGAAAAGAACTGATGCTAAATCCCTAAGCACTGGTGTCATTTTCATTGCCGTCAATGTCTGATCTCATCAAAATGACTACAAAGGGCTGACCGATGTAAATGCCTGAATATTCAGGGTGAACAAGGCTTGAGATGTCTTCGAATTGATGTAATAAAAGTACCAACTAAAAAAAAAAAAAAGCCTGCTACTGACTATAAAGTCTTGATTAAAATGGCAATCTGTTTGTTTAGGGGTAACCAAACTGAGACGAGTGCAAAATTCAACTCATTCAAGTCTCATAAATCTTAAATTACACCGACATTACTCATCTTTTCTCAATCAGTCTGCATAGGAGGCCTGTCGAAAAATATCCCAAACCATATTACCTCTATGACGAAGCAATGCAGGACTTTAGTCCAGATAAAACAGAGATTGAGCTGAAGGATGAAAGGAATTTGCATGCATCGAGGCATTTTGTCCTTCGCCACAGTGCCTAGAGAAAGATGTGCAAGATTCATCACAAACTTTGCAGTAAAGTCATTATCAAGTGTAGCAGAATGAGATGCTGCTTTCTGCAGTCAGATGAAAAGGAAATACGTCCTGGACGAAGATGAAGTTGCGGGTTAGACCACGCCAGTCCTCCACTGATGGGGAGTTCCATCAAAACCCTAATAAAAATGACAAACCTCGTCTACATAACATCAGGCACTTGAGGATGGAGGTTTTTTGATACCCGTAGGACATTTAATCGATTTAGAATTCATCTATTTTCTTCTGGAGATATTTGAGTATGGAGTCCATGCCCTGAGGAGAGCCCCAGACCCTCTTAAGTGCCTCACATTCCCTCTCGTTGGCCTGCTCCAGGGCGGCCCGGTTAATGTTCCTCACCAGTGCTTTGGACTCGCGCAGAACCTTCAGTGTTTCCGGCAGCATCACCATGACAAATTAACATGAGGGGAACAAAATAAGGAAGAAAAGGAAAAGAAGGCACATGACTTATGGATGTGGATGCATTGTGAATTTGTAAAGTAGTCCACTGTTATCGCAACTGCATTTCAACACAAAATACATAAATGTTCCTCAGGACGTACTATTGACTGAAAATCCTCGTGTCTCAGAAAGGTTTAAAAGACTGTATAAACAGCAGAGGATCTAACTTAATTCCAATTTATTCTAGAAAGACTATCAAGGTCAAATGTACATGATCTAAAATGAGACACCATAAAAGCAAAAAATAAAAAAAAATGAACGGTTGAAGGGAATGTGTGAATGTATGCTTTGAGAAAATGTGACAGGAAAAAACAAAACAAATGAAAAGATGACTTACAACTGAATTACAAGATACTAGCTCCTTAATGCGAACCATGACTTCCTGTGGGAAGGTCCCTGGCCACAGAACCTGGGACACGAGTCCTTTGGCACAAGCTTCCTGAGCAGTCAACTTCCTTCCGCTCAGGAGCATTTCATTGGCCTATAGTGACAGGAGAGAGAAAACCAATCAGAATGAAGAGACGATGAGAAAATGCACCCATGTCACCTTACTATTTTATTTCAAACTTAATTCTTATGTTTAAAATTGTGATATTCCTTAATATAATGTCTTAATAAATTGAATATTCATCGTTATTACTTTAAGAAGTAGTAATATGTTGAGTTTCTGTGTATCTGAGGATTTTAATAGGGAATAGCTGTGGAGTGGAGTGACGGCAGACGCTGAAAACACACGGTGCTTGAGTATGTGTAGTGGATGAATTGCGGAAATTAAAAGTAAATTGCCAATATAATTATTTGTCATCCCAATAAAGCACATTAAAAATAAAGCAAAGCAGAACGTAAATTCACAGAGCCAAAGAGAATGATGGGCCAGCAGAAACCTTCAGAAATTTGATTTAATGTTAAAACACCAACTATTCTCCTCACACAGTATAAATGTGTTTTTAATATAAAAGGGGAAATTTACATCTTCACCCTCTATTCAAATATTTAACAATTGTGTAGTTGTGCCTGAAGTCAATTGTTATAATTGTGATGAACCCAATGAATTTATTTATTACTTCAATGAGCTCATTGTTTCGGCCTTGAATTAATACATTGTTAGAGTTTGAGTAATATATGTTTGAGTAATATATGTGTAGATTATATATATATATGTAGATTTCTGAAATACAAAACTTGAACAATATCACCTCTGATAACAGATCACTCTAAATTGCATTTTCTGTAAAGCTGCTTTAAAATGATATGTTTTGTGGAAAGCGAAAGAAAGAAAAATGTATTAACCGATTATATAGTAGTCAATGTACACTTTTTCCTTTGAGCTTTTTGTTTTTCTATGCATTTTTGTTTTGCGTGGTAAAATAAAATCTTTAGCTGTAGTTTGTCTTATTTTGGCGAATCATTTTCCGATAAATACCTTAACTAAACTTAGTGTTTTGTTCTTCCCTCATATATTTGAGATATTTAAAAATATATCAAATATTTTCCATTAAACACACCATTGTGTGTGTGTGTGTTTAATGACAAAATGAAATAAAGCCAAGTGATACGTCCTGGGGAGGTATTATGTAAAAAGTGTTTTTGATGTGTATTTTACTGGAAACCGGAAGTGTCGCTTTAAATCCTAGGAGAGTCGCGAATGTGATGGCTTATTGTTGTGTTTGACGTAGAAATTTATTAGTCTAAAAATGTACATACATTTCTTTCATAGTTTAGACTATATACAGTGAAATTTATAAATATATTTTTTAAATATATATTCAGAACATGAAAAAAGAGGCAGGAACGAACTATATACATATCCTATATTGGATATTAACATCTAATAGTGTAAATCGCGGCAGCAGCTTCAGGTTGGTAGTCCAAGACATTGTTGTCTATCTGTACTTCCGGGATTCTTCCCACTGGAGCCTCGCTTTTGATTTCAAAATGGCAGCTGCGTGAAATCGGCGTATAAGAGAGCAGAGTGAACACAGTTCACTTCTCCCCTGCACCATGACTAAGTGTGAAACTGGTGTGTTGTCCCTGTGTGGTACAATTGAGGTTGTTTTTGGTGTGCTTTGTGTGATAAAGCAATCTCTCTCTCTTTTTCTTCTTTATAACTTTGTTTGGTAACTAAAAGGTATTGTACATCAACTTTTTGTTTGTTCGTTTTGGAAAGCAGTAGGGAGATTGAGTCACCTTTTTCTTGTTTTTGGTTAGTCAGGGAGTGGAGGGAAGCATATGTTGTTTATTTATTTTCTTTTACCTGTGTAGGTAAATGAGTTTTCCTTCCAATAGTAAGCTTCCTCTTTTGTTTGTTGTTTTGGTCTGACCTTCTCCTGAAGATTGAAAAGTTCCATTTTCTTTGTTTAAATACAATAAATCATTTTACTTGTATAAAGTGTTGGCTCACATTTCTGGGGCAGAGGACTGAAGGGACGTTTATGTTATTTTTTTTTTTATTTAAGTTTGTTACCCTCTCCCAACCCTAGACTGGGAGTAGATCGTAACACAAGTGATTTCAAAATATTAGGGGGTCATTGGATAGTTCACAATGTACTTATCTTATTAAAGGAGAACTCCGGCGAACAATGAACCTTTGGTCTAATAAAACATCGGTACCTAGTCAACCGTTCTCTGAGATTTGTTTTCATGATAATCGAATTTAAAAAGTTTTATCTCTAAAAACTGTTTAGTGTATAATGCTAGTAATGGGGGCATTGACTAAGTAAAAAGAAATCGCTAGTTTATACCACTAACAAGGCTCAAAATAGCCCCACACTAACGCAGTAACATAATGAGGCTCCATACATGCAAACCGAAGCATTGAGAACTTTGTAAGTGTACAGACCGTTTAATAAAAAGATACTTTATGAAGACAGTTCACTTCGCGTATACAGACAGGAGCCATCTTAAAAAATAGTCTCGATAAGTCAAACCACGAAAGTCGTGCTGAGTGATCTGAACTGTATGAAGTTCAGCGAACTTCTGACGGCGTTCGGGGATCGACTTATCGAGACTATTTTTTAAGATGGCTCCTGTCTGTATACGCGAAGTGAACTGTCTTCATAAAGTATCTTTTTATTAAACGGTCTGTACACTTACAAAGTTCTCAATGCTTCGGTTTGCATGTATGGAGCCTCATTATGTTACTGCGTTAGTGTGGGGCTATTTTGAGCCTTGTTAGTGGTATAAACTAGCGATTTCTTTTTACTTAGTCAATGCCCCCATTACTAGCATTATACACTAAACAGTTTTTAGAGATAAAACTTTTTAAATTCGATTATCATGAAAACAAATCTCAGAGAACGGTTGACTAGGTACCGATGTTTTATTAGACCAAAGGTTCATTGTTCGCCGGAGTTCTCCTTTAATGACAGGTCCTAGAAATGAATATTGATAAATGGACATTAAAGCGTAAAAGCCTTAATGAGTCTTTCATCTAGACCCGCACTAACGATGTACTGACCGAAGCTACTCCCATGATGAGAGGGAATGTTACAGAGGAGCAGGCGTCTGGAGTTTGGCCAAAGATTGTGTAAGGAGTCTGGAACCAAGCTTTCTCATTGGCCCAGATTACATCACACAGGGGCAAGATAGACGCTCCAAGCCCAATAGCAGGCCCATTTACGGCGGCAATGATGGGCTTCTTGAACTGGATGAATGTGTTGACGAAAGTCCTGAAGACAACAGAAAACACATTGCCTTATCTATAGCTACTATTATAAAACTAATCACCAAAATATGATCAAATATCTGTTCAAGTATTTATATTCTCATAATTTTTACCTGATTGTCTCTGCCATTTTGATACTTTCTTTTTTCCTATCATCTGTGAGCCGCCTAATAAAGTAGATGAAGTCGAGGCCAAAGCAGAAGACGTTTCCCACGGCGCTCAGTAGAACAAGTTTACTGTCATCAGCTGCAGCTGTGGCCATGGCACTCTGAACCTCCTTCATTACCTGAAAACCATTCGAGTAAAGCTTTATTTATATATATATATATTACTTCCATTATATTCACCCTTTTGCTAGACAATCTGAAAAGTTCTCTATACGTTTTCTGTGGTGTTAGATACTTTATTATTTCTACTGTTATAGGATGAGGATGAGGTATCAGATGATAAAAAGCAATGAGTTAAATGTTAGAATCCTTAGGAAGAGTCAAATTAGCATGGGTTATTTCTTACATGCAACTTTAATATACAATGCAATATATTTGGACTCACATCAGGATTCAGTGAGTTGTTCTCTGAGGTCTTTGTAGAAAATAGAATATGTGTAAAGCCATCTTGTTTCTTAACTACAATGTCCCTGTAGCGGTAAGCACTCTCAGTTTGACGAACACTGTAGCGCAGGCGTTTATCGAAAGTCGCACTGTCCCCAAAGCGCCTTTTGGCTGTCAACCCTGAACTGCCCATCCCTCCTGCCGCACCACTCTGTGTAATGGCCGTTCCGTTTGCCGAAGAGGCTTCCATTAAGGTTGTCACTCCTATGAAACGACAACAAAAGCAAAAATGTATAAATAAAAATTATATAAATAAATCATATAAATAACATTTTTTTTAAAATACAACTGTATATTATCAATTTAATATTTCTGAATCTACACTACATTCTAAAGTTTGAGATCAGTAAGAGAGATATATGTATAAAATAGGGCTGTGCAAAAGTTAATTGCGATTAATCGCATCCAAAATAAAAGTCTGTTTTACATAATATATTTGAGTGTGCTGTATATAATTATTTTGTATATATAAATACCTATGCATGCATGTATATATTTAAGAATTATTTGCGCTTAAATTCTGCATATATATATAAATACATAATCTATATTATATAAATATAAATATTTTATATAGGAATAACACATTTTCTTAAACATAGACATGCATGTGTGTGTATTTATATATACAAAATAATTATATACAGCACACACAAATATACTATGTAAACACAGACTTTTATTTTGGATGCGATTAATCGCAATTAACTTTTGCACAGCCCTAGTATAAAATATATATAATAATATATAATAATATATTTTTTTTATTGTTACATCTATTCAGCAAGTAAAGGAATTTTCTATTCAACGGTAAAAACATTTGTAATGTTTCAAAAGATTTCTATTTAATATCAAACCTATTCTTTTGAACTTTGAACATAAAAGAATCCTGGAAAAAAATGATCACAATTTCCACAAAAAAATATTAAGCAGCACAACTGTCTTCAATGTTTCTTGGGCACCAAATCAACATATCAGAATGGTTTCTGAAGGATCACTTGACACCGAAGACTGGAGTATTGATGCTGAAAATTCAGATTTGTCATCACAGTAATAAAATACACTTTAAAATATATTCAAATACATTTATTTGGCACATTTTTAATAATATTTAACAACATTTTTACTCTATGCTGATTTGATCAAATAAATTAATTTGAGCTTTTAAGACTGTTATACAAAGATCCCAAAATGCGAGTAAAATCAATACCATCCAAACAATATTATATCTCGTCATAATATTCGTCACAAGATCAGCATCAGATCAGAAATAAATGAGTATATGATTTCACTCTAGGAGGTACCCTCAAAAATCAATTGAATTTGTTTTCATTTATCAAGTGCTTGATTTTTACCATTTCTATTGTTGCTCCATGACTGGAAACACATAATACAAATCAAATTATACGAACACGATTTAAACACACTAAAACTCAACTAAAGCCACCTCTCTTAAACGTCATATAATGTAATGTTCTCAATGTAAGTTAAGTCGACTGTACCTTTCCCGTTTAATGTGCGGACAGCAGCTGGGGTAATGGGAATCTGTGGTGGCGGAAGGGCCGTTTGTGTCCTGGGCCTCGTGCCCATACGAGCTCGCTCCTCTCCTGGTACACGCACAGCTCCGGTGGGTTTCTCCAGCAAGGCCACTTCAGGGGGCACAGCATCAGGCTCTTGGCCTTCCTGCTCCAGACTGTGTGCTGCCTCGCTGGGAGACTCCTCGGTATCAGTGCGGCTGTTCATCGGGCTCTTTGGCACTAGGATTTTGATGCCAGATTTTGTTAGGTCCATACTACGGCGCAGTGCGCTCATAGTGGGTGCAGCTGTTGGCGCTGCCGTAGGGACCGTGTCAGCGACTGTACCCGTGACGGAAGTGCCGCTGCCCGCGCTACTCACGCCAGCCGAACGCTTGTTCTTCTGCTGCTGTGCGTCGCTGTCGTTTGGCGAGTGTTGTGCTGGCTGAAGCCGTTTTGTAGAGGGTGTGCTTGAGGTCTGTGGAGAAGTCTTCGCTGTGGTAGGATTCGCTGACGGCTGCTGAGGCCTGTTGATCTGTTTGCGGGCATTGATGTTAGTGTTAGTGCTGGGAGAGCTCCGCGTGGAACGGAGTAAAGTTCCGTCTTTCTGCTTCTCGCTGTGTTGCCGATTAAACTCATGGATGAACTCGACGCAGCTGGACAGGTGACTCTCCGGCTCCCAGGTGTCTCCCTCAAAGCCATAGCCTCTCCAACGGACCAGGTACTCAGTCTTGCCCTTTTTGTTCTTACGCTTGCCAACTACTCTCTCCACCTACAGAGGGACACGCAGATATACATTTATGTTAAATAATAAAGTACTGGCAAGATTAAAAGACAAACGAGTTCTCATGGAAAACTGTTAGCTTGTTATGAAAGAAATTAGAGCCCGACCGATAAAGGATTTTGAAGGCCGATACGATACAAATATTTGTCCGATATTCCGATTAGGGATGGCTCGATACCACAATTTTGGCTTCGGTACGATACCAGAACCTAATACCTCGGTATCGATACTAAATCGATACCACAGTCGGAAAAAAAGAGTCTAAATTTAAGTGAATTGAAACAATTTTATTAAACACTGCTTGAAACTCTCAACTACCATATGTGCAAAGAAAAGTATCCCAAAAAAAAAAAAACTTTTAAAAAATTTTAAAAATAAAATTATGTGTAGGTAAAATTTTGATTTGGGAAAACCACTGATATTACACAATTAAAATAGGTTAATATAATAGATTAACATAATAGAATAATGAAATGACGTAAACCATTAGCTGTCATGCATCAACAGAGAATTATCAACATTTATTGCATTTATTCATCTTGGTTTGGTTACTGTTTGTGTTTGGGCTCATATTATGCATATAATGCATTGCAAAAAGTAATGTTATGATGCTAAACATATATTAGGATATTACATTTTTAGGTCATTTTATTACTGATTGATTCAGATTAATCAATGCTATATTGTTAGGCCAGGTTCCTTAATGAATGTTGACAAATGTAGCTTAATTGTAGGCTAATATTATTAATATTTATATTACTACCCTCTCTCTCTCTCTCTCTCTCTCTTCGCCACAGCCTCAGTAATGCCATTCATTTATCACTTTTATGCTTTATTAATTTAAATTAAATGAATATATTTGTTTGAAATAAATTGCAAAAATGAGATCATGAGACGTAAACTGAATTGGTATAGCGTGTCATGCAAGAAGATTTGAGCTTTCGTGTTTACCATATCATATTTAATTGATAAGCTCTTAAGTATGTGCGCTGTTCAGTGTTCAATAAAAGTCTAAATTAAATCAGTTGAATGATGAACTCACCAGTCGATCTCTTGAACAAGTCAGGATGAGCAATTGACGAGCGCTTCGGCAGATTTGATGTGTTGCCTTCCATGGCAACACATTATTGAAAGCAAAGTTTGCAGAGTGGTTCATTGAGGTCTGTGTCTACACTATTCTCATTACTTTAGTAGGCAAAGTAATGCCTTATTTCACTAATACTGCTCTCTCTATTTAATAATTTCGGGGCGTGTAAAAACCCGAATGAGCTTTATTTCCACCGTGTTCCTTCGTTTGCCAGTTTCGCGTGACTTGCGTCAGTTTCGGTAGCGCACTGCCGCCTAGTGGAGAACTTCGGAAAAGCAGCTCATCAAATACCGAATTTAACAAAATGATGATATTGTACCGTTTTAAATTTATTATATACCGGTATTTTTGCAATACCGGTATACCGCGCATCCCTAATTCCGATATATCGGCCGATATATATATATATTTTTTAGAAACGGGCAACAAAACATTAACAGATTTCCCTAACATTAGTTATTTATGAGTTAACTAAAATAATATGATTGTGCATTTTAAAAGAAACTTGTTTCTTTTATTGTCACAACAGAACAGACTGATGATGGTGGCATTAGCTAGCTTTGTGGTTAGCTAGTCTATGATGAGCTATAATTTAGCAATGGAAAACGTCATACTGCAAATTGTTAAAACATACATTTTCAATATAACAGGCCAAGGAGAGATGATAAAGTTAAAAGTTTAAAGGACAGTCAGTCAACTACACTAACAATGTAACGTTACTATTACTAGCCAATCCTGCTTCACTTTCGCCTTATTTAACAGCAGCAAAACTGGACATGATAGTCACAATTTTTGTCATGCTTATTTGTGTTAAAATATTTGGTCAATATTTGGTATTTTGGTCAATAATTGGTAAATATTTGGTCTTTGAGAATTTGTTACACAGCGTCTCTGACAAACTCATCGTGAAGATGAAAGGAGTAACCTAGGAGTACGTTAAATAGGCTTTACGTTGAATTTCACATGAACATACAGGAAAAAATGTCTCTTTGCATCCACTCCTTAGAGAAGGTGTAACCGGCAGTATGAACTGACAGCGATATCTATGGACTTTCAAGCAAACCCCACTATTTCTTTTTACTGCTGCCATTTTTTAAATATCTAAAAATATCTAATGAAACCCATACAAAATACTTGTATCGGATGTAATCCAACCAGTTTAACAAAATACGGAAGTAAGTTGTGCATAACGCCCATTGGTATGTACTAGTCATTAAAATATGTATACACCTAATGTTTTTTTTTTTTTTTCAAATGTTTTTTGCAAGGTATTTTTGATTTTAAAAGCTGTGCTAAACCTATAATTTTTCTCACCCAGCAGCAATGGCAGGCAGAGAGATGTATGATGAAGAAAGCCCATAGGAGTGTGTTAAATTGGCAGGCAGATGCTAAAATGTGCATACGCTATATCTTAACCACTTATACATTTGGTACTTATGTTTTTTGCAAGGTGTAAATAGGTTTGAGTTAATGTTTTTCTTTAAGAAAATTGGAGTGAGCACTCAATTTCCCAGTCAAGCTTTAAGTAGGCTAGTGTTTTCCTCTTACAGTGGCTTTGGCAGACAGGTGGGGAGAAGCATGTTAAAATGGTAGGTAGCGTGGTGTAATGGTTAAAATTACTCACAGTTTGGTTTGTTTCACGGTTTTAGGGTCACGGTTTCGGTACGTATGTGCTATGTTTAGGGAAAAAAGGACTACTTTCAAATAAAAACTGTCCAACCAAGCTACTGTGAAGATCTCTGCTCTGCTGTCATGCACGCACCGCTCCTGGAGCACATTGCTGGACCGCATCCGTGTGCGGTGTGAGCGCTCTAACCACCATAGGCTCTAACCTATTAACATGGGTGCGGGAAAAATACGCACCACAAACAAACACAAATGTGTGAAACAGGCGTTAGCACAACAAACAAAGTTAAGTCTGACATAGAGGAAAGGATTCTTCTTTGGGAGAAAAAGAAGAAATGACATTTGGAAAAACTTTCATTTCATCATGCATGTAGGCTACTTAAAAGATATTTTGTTTGGTTGGTAAAGTAAATATGTTGTAAATTCAAATCAAAGCGTCTTCCGTGTCTGGAATGGATGTATTCTTGAATCTGTAAGGTAACAATGATATAATAAGATAACTATAAGAAGATAAGATTGTTTGAAATGGGTTTGGCTAAAAGAAAATGTTGGTTTTGTCTAGTATACTACTAGGTACATATACTATATTGACTGGGTAAATAGAATTGCATTACTGAAAAGAGACTAAAATACAATTTTCGTCGACTAAAACTAGACTAAAATGTCATCAGTTTTCGTCGACTAAAACTAGACTAGACTAAAACGAGAACGTGACTAAAACTAATAAAAACTAAAATGACAGCTTGATACAAAGACTAGACTAAAACTAAAATTAAAACAGGCCACCAAAACAACACTACTTGACTGTTTACATTCATTTAAGACATATCTGAGTGTGCTTACTATTCTAACCAAGACGTAAACAGTTTTTCCAAGACAACTTGAAAGCGAACTCAATTTGTAAGATATATAGGCTATGTTAGAATTTGCGCTGTCAGAAAAAGTGAAACTAAAATCACTTGAGTGTGTGAAAATGCAAATATAATAGGCCTAACTAAAATCGAACCAAAGGAAGAAACGTTTAGAATACTCAACAAAATGGGTGAGAAGTGAGTGAAGATTTGGAAAAAAAATAAAATAAATAACAGATCCCATGTCCAGAGGAATAACTAATGGAATATTATTAAATTTGCTGATAATCGGGTGACCAGATCGCAAAACAGAATACAAAGCTGAAAAACCTTAAATTTATGGGCTCACATACCTCTCTTTTTCGGCATGAATCCTTCCTGAGAAGGTCCTGAGCATGTATGTGGCAGCCATCGCAGCTTATCATGCTCCGGTGGCTGGCCGGTCACTGGGAAAAAATTACTTGGTGGTACGGTTTCTGAAAGGAGACAGGAGGCTTATCCCCTCCAGACCTCCATCTGTTCCATCTTGGGACCTCTACACGGTCCTTGGGGCCCTGAAGGGCCCACCGTTTGAACCACTTCAGTTGGTTGATCTCAAAATACTCTCGCTAAAGACTGCTCTGCTGCTGGCATTGGCATCTGTCAAGCGAGTTGGAGATTTGGAGGCGCTCTCGGTGAGCCCCTCTTGTTTGGAGTTTGGTTTTGGCGACCCGAAGGTCGTTCTCAGAACCCAGACATGGTTATGTGCCTAAAGTGCTTTCTACTCTGTTAGAGCACAGGTTATCACTTTATTGGACTTTCCCCCTTCCTCAGAGGATGGGGAGGCTAATCTTCTCTGTCCTGTCAGAGCACTAAGAATTTACCTGGAGCGCTCTGCATCTTTTAGAAAATCAGAACAGCTCTTCATCTGCTTTGGTGGCCGGTCTGAGGGGGCACCCGTCACAAAGCAGAAGATATCCAAATGGATAGTTGATGCCATTTCTCTGGCATACACCTCAGTGCGTCAGGATCGACCTCTAGTCCCATTCGACTAGAGGCATTTTGAGTTGACAAAACCAAACCAATCTAACCAGGCTTTGTTGGTACCATGATGCTGACCATCAACTTTCGTTTAGGTGTAACATCAATAGCAAACAGCCAATCACATGCTTAGAAAGAGTGAAACTGCGATTCATTTCTCGAGAGAAGCAGATCGATTCAAGACCGAAAAATATTAAGAATTTAAACAAATTTACATAGCAAGAAGAAAATAGCAGTCTATGAAAGGACAGAAAAAGTATTGCAGTGCAATTTAAAATTGAGAAGTTAGTTTATACAGTTGATAAAGGTATAGAGATAATTGAACATTTAAGTTCACATGTAGGCATTTTATAGCTTTATCTATTGATTCTAAAGCGTGTTTATATTACATTTATATATTTATT